AATGGCACAAAGTTAGTCTGCGGTGTTAATGCAAGTGGATATATTGAGAAGATTCCTGCTTGATTGTCCACTGGTGTTCCTAACCCATAATACGACAATTTTGTTGGCGGATTTCTAGTTCTTCTTGGGCGTTCTTGCTCAGGAGGTGGACTAGCAGAAACTGATTGATCAGGTAACCGCACTTCACTGTCTGGTACTTTCCCTTGTCTGCCCTGATTACTTTCAGCCATGGTGGTGGGCCCCTGTCCCACATCCCTGTGGCTATCCCCGTCCTGGAGCTGTGATGTATCACCTTCATTGTTCCCTATCAACTCTCTATTCAATGGTTCTTCTAAATAATGGCTCGCTTGTTCCAACTGATTTGGTGAAAATGTTGGAAATTGTTCCTCGTCATCGTCTTGGATGTTGACCTCGGGGAATGACGATTCTGGGCTTTTAGATGGCACGTGTTTGATCTCTGCAGCATTATTTGCTTTTCTTTTTGTGTGACCTTTTCTTGTGTCCTGTGGGGTTCCTACATGGGGAAGGAAGGGGCAAGGCATTAAAAGGTTTCTGTGCAGAACCCTTGTCCTTCCATCTTGATTTTCTGGACGCACCTCATAAACAGCAGCATTGGGACCTTTTCTGTTTAGAACGATATAAATCTTTTCCTCCCAAAATGAACGCAACTTTCCAGGGCCTCCTCGTTCTATTACGTTTTTTACAAGTACTCGGTCCCCAGGCTTTAGGTCAGAGCTTCTTGCTTTTCTGTTATATTCCTCCCGACCATGTGCTGCACACTGTCCAGTTTTCTCTGCAGCAATACGGTAAGCATCTGTCATCGCATTCTTCCATTGCTTAAGGTATTCTGGATATCCTTTCACTGCTGTTACTTTAGTATTTCCGAAAATAATGTCAATAGGTAATCGTGGCTTTCTACCAAATAAAAGCTCAAAGGGTGAGAAACCTGTACTATCGTGACGTGTGCAATTGTATGCGAATGTCATTTTATTCACATGATCCTTCCAGCGTGTTTTCTTTTGTTCGCTCATTGATCTCAACATGGCTAAGAGAGTTTGGTTGAATCTTTCACATTGCGCATTACCCATTGGGTGGTAGGGTGTGGTTCTTGAACGAGCAATTCCTGTCAACTGTTCCAAGTGGTGGAACAGATCATTTTCGAACTCTCGACCTTGATCGTGGTGGATTCGTTGAGGGAAACCAAATCGGAGTATAAAGTTATTAAATATTTTGTCAGCAGCAGTTTTCGCAGATTTGTTCGTGGTAGGGTAAGCTTGGGCATAACGGGTAAAATGATCCACAACAACTAAAAGGTATTCATACCCCCCTGTACTTCTTTCTAAGTGGACAAAGTCAATTGATATAAGCTCAAACGGTTGACTTGTGACTATGCTTTGAGCAGGGGCACGTGGTGGTAGTGATGGCTTTTTCCGTTGTAAGCATCTACAAACTTTGGTTACGTAATGTTCGATGTCTCTCGTCATGTGCGGCCAATAGAAACGATCTCGTGCTAGCTCTGTCACTCTTTCAGCACCCAAGTGTCCCATCTCATCATGAAGATGGCGGAGTACCAAAGAGTGGTATCTTTTTGGCAAAACCAACTGCAACCTGTTGGCTGTCTTTCGGTACAAGGCTCTGTCTTTTCCCAGTATCAGCTTGTTCCATTCATGCATTAGTGTTTTTACCTCAGCTGATTCACCATGTCGATCTTGAAACGAAGGCCTAACTGGCTGTTCTTTATAAGCTAAGACACGGGCAACATCAGGGTCCTCCTTCTGCGCTTGTAAGATGTTCTGCAGAGGCATGGGAGTGTGTTTTTCCATTTTGTTTACATCTAATAGTTGGGTAGTATTTTGGTTAAGTGAAACTGCATGGATCCAATACACATTACCTTGATGCCTGGTGGTAACTGCACTGAGAGTTGCTGCAAAATCCATCTGTGATGTTTCTTGTGTGCATTCTTCCATGAACTTCTCAATGTTTGTTGGCATTCTTGAAAAGAAGTCTGCATCAACATTCGCTTTACCCGGTCGGTACTTGATGGTGAATTCAAAATCTGCCAATGAAGCTATCCATCTATACCCTGTAGAATTTAACTTTGCTGTACTCATAACATATGTTAAAGGGTTGTTATCAGTATATATTGTGAATTTTGGAGCGTAAAACAAGTAGTCGCGGAACTGTTCAGTTACAGCCCACTTTAATGCTAGGAACTCCAGTTTCCCGGAATGTAAATGGTACTTTCTTTCAGCTGGAGATAGCGTCCGAGAGGCATACCCTATCACTCTCATTTTCCCCTGCTGTTTTTGGTACAAGACTGCACCAAGTCCCTCTTGTGATGCGTCTGTATGAAGTACAAATGGGATGCTGAAATCTGGATAGGCCATGATAGGTGGGTTGGTAAGACAGCTTATAAGATAATTGAGAGCTTTTTGATGCGGCTCTAGCCAGACAATTGGCGCACGCGATGATGCTTGGCCTCCTTTCCCACGTGTGTCTTTTTTCTTTACTTTGGAAGTGCATGGCTGTTCCACCTTGAGTAAGTCATAAATGGGTTTTGCTACTCTGGAAAAGTTTTCTATATATCGACGGTAGTAACCCAGTAGACCTGTCAAATGACGAACTTCACCAATAGTCTTTGGTGTGTAGTCACGTAACTTGAGAATTGCTTTTGTGCTGTCTGGATCTATGCGATAACCATCTTCAGACACGATTCGACCTAAATATACAACTTCTTTCTTAAACATGTCACATTTTTCAGCTTTCAGCTTGATACCATTTTCTTTCAATCGTCGTAGAACCTTTCTTACATGCTCCACGTGCTCGTTGAATGACTTTGAGTATACAATGACGTCATCAAGATATGGTGCACAACATTCGTCTCTAAATTCCCCTAAACAGCTCTCCATATAACGTTGAAATTCTGCTGGAGCGTTTTTGAGGCCCATGGGAAGTCTTATCCATTCATAGAGACCCCAGGGTGTCACAAAAGCCGTTAAATGGCGACTTTCTGGGTCCATAAAGCCTTGATGATATGCTTTCCCTTGATCTATAGTGGAGAACCATTTGTTTCCGGATAAACTGTCCAACGTGTCCTGAATTCTGGGTATTGGATGACGGTCTGCTGTTGTTTTATCATTTAGTTCTCTGTAGTCAATACAGAGCCTCATTGAGCCATCTTTTTTCGGACAATCACACAACAGCTACTATATGGCGATTTTGATTTCTGGATGAACTTGCGATTCAGGAGATCCTCGATGTATCTCTTGAGTTCAGGGTACAAGGGTCTTGGGACAGCAATGTAATGTTTCTGCACCGGTGTTGTATCATTTAGTATGATCTTATGTTTGAGGCCCTCTGCGCAACCTACATCTTGGCTACTTGTGCAAAAGGCATCACGTTCTTCATAAAGCATCTGCTGTACACTCCGTTTTTGCTCTTCACTCAAATGATTTCCTAAAGTAACTTTTGGTATCACGTCCGTTGCTAGCTTCTCGTCAGCCTCTAATTGTCTTTGACTGGTCCTGTATTGCTCATTCTTTGTAGACTTGAGTTCTTTTGGATTTCCTTCTTTATCCATTTCATTGTGATCTTTGAACTTCAACTCAACTGGTGTAACTGACCTAACAGGTTGCAGAAAACCCATTTCTGTACGTCCTTTCAAAGTGATGTCATGTGCACTAGTGTTAATGACATAAATTCCCACCTTGTCGCAATTTTCCCTTTTCAAAGTGAGCAAAGACTCGTGTACTTCCAAACCAGAGGGGAAGCTTAACTCGTTATCGGGCTCAAACAGCATAGGTGTTGGTCGGCTAATTAATCCAACTTTGCTGCGACATGAAATCTTTACTGTACTGCCCTTTGGAACAATAATGCTTTTCTTGCCTGTTCTAACAGTGGAAAATATTGGTGTTGACTTGCTGTCAACAAAACTCACAAAAGCATTTAAATCTGATTGTGACGTCTGAAAGAAACTTGCTGATAGCAGCGAGATAAGGTTAGTCTCATCTGGGACTTGTTGTTGACTTTTGATAAGTTCTTCGATTACATTGTACCCAATAATAGGCTGCTCAAGTTCGAATTCAGTTACTAGCATTGGTACTTCTACTGCATCTACGTTTGAATTCAGAAGCTTGAAATTCATCTTAACCCACCCACTGTATGGCAATTTTGAACCATTGGCTGTTGTTAGTTCTAACTCAATGTCCTGATCAAGGAGATCTGCGATATCTTTTATCTCTGACTGTGGAAAATGTTTTCTAAGCTCTTTTGAACTCACGATTGATACTTGTGCACCCGTGTCAAAAAGTACGGGTAACTCGATACCATTCATACTGCACTTGATCAAACATTTTCTACCCACTAGTTTCGACAGTTTTTCTTGTCCTTGAGGCGTGAGATGGCTAACAAAGACTCTATGATCCTCACTGTCACCTCTTCCATGCTCAACCCTTTCAAACTTATCGGAGAGTTCCTGAATCGCTAGACAAATCTGTTTATGATTAGCCCAGTCTTTTATTTGACATGCCTTACTACAATATTTTGATGTTTCACATGCAGCACAAATAAAAATATTTTTGTGTAGTTGTTTGCAGCTTATACAATGGTGGGACTCTACATCATTTGCCTTGGCTACTGGCTGTCCCGTGACAGCAGCCGGGGGCAGTTTTCCTGCCACGGTCCATT